GCGTCTTGCTCTGTCACCCAGTCTGGAATGCAGTGGCACAATCTTGGCTCACTGCAATCTCTGCCTCCTAGGTTCAAGTGATTCTCCTGCCTCAGTCTCCTGAGTAGTTGGGATTACAGGTGCCTGCCACTGCACCTGACTAATTTTTGTATTTTTAGTAGAGACGGGGTTTCACCATGTTGGCCAGGCTGGTCTCGAACGCCTGACCTCAAGATCCACTTGACTCAGCCTCCCAAAGTGCTGGGATTACAGGCATGAGCCACCGTACTCGGCCACCTGATGTAATTTCAATCTTCCCAACTCAACTCCACTGGACATGTGACACTGACAAATATCTAAATAAAAAAGTATATACTTCTTTAAACTACACAAGAATGGGTGGCAATAGATTGAGTTAATCCCTGATGAATGGATCTTGCATTTATAGAGTCAAGGAATGATATAAAGAACATCAAGATTCTAAACAATAAAGTTATATTATCACTGCAACTTAGACACTTCCTAAACTCTAATCTGAATATATTCCACCTTCATTCTCAGGTGCAATGAAGAACCACGATAGGCTTCACATCATCCTACCTGGTCAGAAGTTGCCCCCATTAGGACAACTAATTAAATTCAACAGTAAAGGTGCATGTCCCAAGTCCTCCAATAGGGTGTGGCTCAGAGAACTTGGGGTTTTCAAATGGAGCTCACACTCAGGAAGCTCTGAGGTTTCTATCACTAGTCTCTGTAAGCTTACATTGATGAAGATGAACACATTCTGTTTTTCTTTTAAAGTAGCCAGCAGAAGCTGGCACAGCCACCTCTGTACCCAGGGCACAGGTTGAAGGATCAAGGAGCAACATGGCTCTCCTCTGGGTCCCAAGTAATAGGGAGCAGGGGGCTCTCAACTCAAAGAGAGAAGCAGGCTGAATGCATTAATGAGCTGTGAACCACATGTTCTAGGTCAGCTAGTCTTCATTTTTGTCAAGCTGAAAGGATTTGGAACTCACAAGTTGCATTAAAGACATACAAATTACCACACACGGAAAGCCAATTAGGTTTTTTGTTTCTTTGATCATTGCTTTTCTGTTTGAATTTCCACAAAGAGGACAATCACAATCCACAAAACTGAATGAAGAGACAATACTGTTCTGTGAATACTACAAAAACTAATTACACAATTTAAGATATCACACAGATTCTAGATGCTGTAAAAACTTTTTTTAAAAAGGACTTTATACTATTGCCAGTAGTGTTTGAGGCATGTTTCAACAGTAAATAAAAAATCTTGATGCTGGAAAGACTCAATTGCTAGAAGAAAATATGAGGTGTATGTTCTTAAAAGTTATTCCTCCCACACTCCCCCCCCTTCCTTTTTTTCTCTCTTGGCAATTATTAGGCTTAACTGAAATTCTTCATCAATCTAAACACACCAAAGGTATGCCACTTTTCCAGGATGCTCTAAGAAAAAATGTTTTTCACCTAGCAAATACAGTCAAGGTAACAGAGCAATTGACTCCATTTTTCTTGTTGATCATAATATAATCCTTCTAGCTGGCTTAGTTCTTAAAGTTGTCACATACTTCTAACTCTACCTCTTGGACCCTCCCAGAAATACTCAGGCCTTTCTCTGGGTGATATTTCAGGAATAACGTCTTGAAGGCAAACCAGAGGATGAACTGCAGCAAAAAGGGAAAGGCTGCAGGCTGGGTGGCTTCACCAGTCTCAGAAGTGTGATGGGGATAGTGTCAAGAAGTTATTTCTTTTCACACATGCTGCCATAGTTTATGAATCATGTTTTCCCTGGGGCTTTCCCCCTATTCAAAGGATATGTTTCAGAGCTTGAATGAAGAGCAACTATCTTATGAACACAGAGGCATTTCTCAAGTTTTAAAGATTAAATTAGATTTTTACTTGGGTTCCCACCAAAATGACAGAATTGAAAATCAGGATTTATCAAGGGGAAACTATTTTCTAAGTTATTTTGACTCATCAAGTGTATTAGTCTGTTTTCACACTGCTGATAAAGACGTATCTGAGACTGGGAAGAAAAGGAGGATTAATTTGACTTACAGTTCCACATGGCTAGGGAGGTCTCACAATCATGGCAGACACTGAGAGGCATTTCTTACATGGTAGCAGCAAGAGAGAATGAGAAAGCAGCAAAGTGGAAACCCCTGATAAACCCAACAGATCTTGTGAGACTTACTCTCTATCACAAGAATAGCACAGGAAAGACCGGCCCCCATGATTCAACCACCTTCCCCTAGGTCCCTCCCACAACACATAGGAATTGTGGGAGATATAATTCAAGTTAAGATTTGGGTGGGGACACAGCCAAACCATATCATGGAGAAACAACCCGTAGATCACAGAGTGGTAGCCCCTAAGCCAGAGGAGACTTCCTTCCAACTGCAAAGGCTGAGCCAAGGGAATTGCTGCTCTGAGGCAGGTGGAAAGGGAGCTGAAGCCTGCCTCTTGAAGTATTGAGTGACTCATGTTGGAGCTGGGAAATCCCCCACTATGCACCCACCTCAAGGTGAATAGAAAGTGGAGGAGAGGATGGTGGCTTTAGATGTTTAGACATTCTTTGCCCCATACACAAAAAAGCTTGGCAACCACGCCCTCTCGAGGCAACTAGTGGCCACTTTGTGAAGTAAGAGGGGGAAGGGAGAAAGAGAGACTGAAGAGAGATTGAGCATTTTATCTAAAGAGCTGAGCATTTACAGTCCAAAATGAATAATGTAATGAATGCAATAGACAAAGTTTACCAACAGAATTAAAATCCAGGGACACCTACCTCCCTCATGAGAGAGGTAAGAAAGTTACGTTTACTTTTTCACCTGGGCTGAGTATGAAGTTTGAACTCAAACTCTGCCACACAGCATAAGGTGATGAAACGCTGAACTAGAATGAGGGCTACAGAAATGGAAAGTCAGCCAGCACTGCCTCCTCTGCTCAATCAATTTATTCAAAGTCTAGTAAAGACAAAAAGTTTAGTGAATAAATGGGGGTAAGGAAGCTAGGTGCTTCCTCATAGCTTTGGAAACTGCCAGGGCACATGGGTGACAAAAAGAACTGTGTATATTATCTCCAGAACATGAACAGAATTTTAAAGAAGCATAAAATCCCTTTTTTTAAAAAAAATTTCCCGTAAGGATCCTTGACAGAAGAACTTAGCAAAGAACTTAGGAGGCGCCTTTAGCCACTGCAGAAACACAGAGGAACTATCAAAGAAAAAGTATCAAAAACAAGCCTTGAAGGAATTACCAAGAGCAAAGTCCATCATTCAATGTGGAATTTGATGGGAACATAGGAAGTACCTCCTCTAATTTTGCATAGGAAGAAAAAAAGATTATTGTACTTCAAAGATCTTAGTTTTATAAAAAAAAATGTAGTGGTATTCTTTTTCATAAAGCATAGGTTTAGAAAGAAGTTCCCTAACTTTTCTTGAACTTTGGGTTTCAGATATATTCATATTTTCCACCAGATCTGGGGAAATTAAGAGTCTGAAAAATAAGCAATCTGCCTTTGCCCCTTTAAAAAGCAATAAAAATGCTCTAAAAAGAGAAGTAAAACCATGGAGACCCTACCAAATACATGGCCCTAAACCACTGCCCCCTAACAGTTCTCCAGGTGGTGCTGGCTCAAATGAAATCTATCCAAGAACTGACGCTGACAGCAGGCTCCCATTTCTCATTTACCAATAGGGCTGGATGGTACCCCGCTCTTGTTTCCCAGCTTACTTGGCAATTTTAAATCAGATTGTTAGTATGTCAGATGACACAGTGGCTTGCTTAATACCACTGATCAATTCTTGTCTGAGGACCCCATCTGACAAAATGTTCAACTCTATTAAAGTTATCCTCCCAGAGAGCTTAGAGCTAGGTATCAAACTTAACTGATAAAAGCTGTTCTGTGATGAAGTGTCTTTCAAGGGGACTGCCATCCCCTAAAATGCTACTCTTTCCTCAACTGTTCCTTGCTTAGTATTTGGGGTGTGTGTGTGTGTGTGTGTGTGTGTGTGTGTGCATGCACACACGCGTTAAGAATACTTTAAAATATGTGTTCCTTTGTGGTTTTTGTCGAGACATGTTAAGCCAGAAAACTGGATTGGAAATAACGTCTTACAATTACCACCATTTACATGCTTGAAGCACAATCTCCCAAAGATTTCCCAATCTCCTGGCTCCTAATTACCCTGTGGGAACCTGGTACTTTTCATCTGATGATGCATGTGATGCTACCATCACACTGTATCATTTAAACATTTATTTTCACTTTCACTATCTTGGTAACTTGAACCATTACAAAATGGCTGATCAATGGTTTTGATGATTCCAAAGAAGCTGGTTTTGGAAACATTGGCCGGACCTTTCCAGTCATCAGATTAAACAACAGCCTTTGGGTTTCAAATCATCGCTCTGTAGGATGCATCTACCTTTCCCAAATCTCCCTCCCTCCCTTCTTTCATTTTTTTTTTAGCTTCTTCTTATCCCAAAGCACAATATTCCATCTGGCCTTTTTTCTACATTTATAAAAGTTGGTAAAGTTGACACCTCTAATTAAAAGCAGCTTTTAAATGTCAAGTTCTGAGGCAGGAGAGTGATAAAAGAAGCCACAAAGGAGATAGGGATCAATAGTAACCTTATTACAAATCATCTCTGGCTTGGTCCAAACCAGCAGACTCCATTAATTATAAAGTGTGATTTGTCTCTTCACTGAATTAAGCAGTAACAAGAAAAAGTATGCGAAACCATACCAACAACATAACACAGAATTTTCCTGATGCTGCATGTCAACTGCCAACATTTCTGTGTAAGGAAAAAAACCTTCATTTCACATATTTTATTTAAAGAACCTTGTTATATTTAAGAAATATTTAAAGTCATGTGTTAGAACAGACTACTCAGCAAGTTATATAAAAACACTCACAGAGAGCAAATAATGTCCTCCCAGACAAAATAGCTTCCTCCTCCCTTTAAAAAATACTATTCTCTACTAGGCAAATGGATTCCTCAGAGTGTGCTTTCTTAATTAAACCTGAAGAAAATTAAAATCAAGACTTTTGTGAAGGAGTCGCTATCACCATACCAGGGTACAAAATAAATTTTAAAATCAGGAGAAGCAGAAAGGGGTAAAAAAAAAAAAAAAAACTGAAACAAGTTAATTTCAAATGGACAGTAAAGACAAAGGAACTGTAATGATAAGAATGAATTCATGTATAATCTCTGAATAGGTGGGGGCTGCCCAAGAGTCCATTGCTGTGTATATGAACTAACATACTGCCTGTAAGAGAGAGATGGGCTTCATTTTCTTTTTTTCCTCTTCTCTCTTTTTTCCTCTCTGTGAGTTCAATTAATTACAATGACTAAAGCAAATTCCATTACAGGAAAACTGCAGCGAAATTAACAAAAACTTTAGGAAAGAACTTTCGTTTTATGTAATACGTCACAAAATATTTAAATTTCCAATGTTTTCTCTCTACAGAGAAAGAATGTTGACTCCTTGGTCTCTATATGTTAGTACAGATCTCATAACAATTTTAAACATTCAAGTTTAAAACAGGTGGTAAATCTCCATCTAATAAAGATAGCTAGAGAGCAGAATTGTCACTCTCAACATTAAAAGGATAGTAAAAGTCACTTCAGTTTAAAAAGATGATGAATTAGATCACCTATATTGATGGGGGAGGGGAGATGTACCAAAATCCCAGTTCATAGCCATTCTTAAGAAGACTGTGTATTATGAAGGGTATCCAGATAGTCACCAGAATCTCTTAAACTCAGGTTACATACTCATTTTCTCTTCCCAGCCCTTGATTACACGAGCGAACAAGCTCAATCTTGATTTGATTGTAAATAGTGGGTGTATTCAAGTTCATGTATATATACTTTAAGTAAAATATTTAAATTTTTCTTTTCTGAAATTATAAACAATGTGTTCAAACATTTATAATCAAATTTCTTTGAGTGGAGTTTGATCTATTTATTACAGCTTTATTTTAAGCTCATGAAATCTGCCTTTTCATATATGTTTAGTAATGCAATATGAAGAATTTTCTACCTTTATGGGGCACAAGAACCAAAAATAAGGTGCTTGTGACTTCAAGAGCCCCACATGAATAACTGTAGATTATTATTATTGAAGTTACTTGGGCTTTATTGCTATATTGATCATTCATCTACACACTCTACACAGTTAATTTTTCTGATCTGGTTTGCAGAAATAAATTGGACAGAGATATCACTTGAGTGCCAATCCTAGTTCTGCTATTAATTTGATGTGCCACAGGGTTTCCATTTTCTCATATGCAAAATGAAGGTGCTCAACAGGTGGTCTCTGAATTCTGTTTCACTCCAAGCCTCCCTGAGACCATAATGCCTAATTCTGAGCATAACCCTTTGCTCAGAAATGTACAAGGACTCCCTATTATCTGTTACAGTCCAAACCTGGCTTTCCCAGAATATGTGCTTGAGCATGTTTCACCTGTTAGCATATTTCACCCTGTGAACTCATCTTGCAATAGCCTCCTCTTTAGCAGTTGAATTCCAACTCATTCTTATAGGTCTAGTTCAAGGCTGATGTTTCACTGAAGTCTTCCCAATCACTGAACCTGAAACTAACCATTCTCTCCTTTGAAGATCCAAATAATTCATTTATGTATTTTAAAATGTCTATCTACTATCTATTGTCTATCATTTTACTAGTTATCTATACACATACTGCATCTCTTCAACTAAATTATAAGCTCCTCAAGGGCGAAAATTCTTTATATTACCTCATGTTACCTAGAATAGTCAGCCACTGGTACACAATAGGCACTCAATAAATACTTGCTGTTGATGAGTGAGCAGTGCCTTGCACATGGTAAGAGCTTACAAATAGGTGTTGAATTCATCACCAAAAATGCAGTAACTTATTTTATATCTGTTTTATTGAAATAAACTAATTAAATTTCTACTATATGCCACTTAAAACAACCAAACATGACATCTTTAAAGTAAATCAATTATTTGAGTATGAAAAGTTCAACCCTCTGACTTTATGGTCATGATGTATAATAATGTACACTGTCCAATACCATACGATAAATATGGGGTTGTGGGCAAAAGCCCAACCACATGGCTTAATAACGGAGCCTAGCTCTCATCTGTTGAAAAAAAGTAAATAGGTATGAAAAAAGCGACTCAAGGCAGAGAGGTCAAGCTGACTGGAGGAAGATGAGTCTCACAAGTTGAGTCTGCCTCATTAAGAGAGGCAGAGAGGACAAGCTGACTGGAGGAAGATGAGCCCTCACAGGTTGAGTCCCTAAATCATGGGATGAAGCACTTAAGGACACTGAGCTCATGGGGACAAAGATGCCTCATTTAAAGCCCCAGTAAGCCTCCATTTGCATGAGGCCCCCTTCTAGCCCTGCTACAATTTCCCTACCTAGGGTTGCTACGTGAAGCTTTCATGCTCCAGATTCTAGGGGGAGAGGACCCTAGGGCCCTTGCTCACCACTGGGAGGAAGAAGGGTCATCTGTGTACCCCAGGGCTCCAAGCACAAGTTCAGCAGGTGCCTTCTACCTCACACTGATGTCTCTGACTCCAGCAGTGTTGACAAGGGTCATTCCCACTTTCCATCTCAGTCCAGTTTCTATTAAAACTCCCTTAATCTGCCTAGTCTAAGGAGGTACATGGACTTCTTTTTGTCCACTTCTGAATGGCTCTGATACCTACCTTCTTGAGCTAGGTCCCAGGCTCACACCCCACCACAGGAGCCACAAAAACACCACCACAAGTCCTGTAAAAGCACACTTCTGGCAGTTTTCAAGGCCTGTTTGTTGGTGGTGATCATGGGAGCCATTAGGACAACAATCTGCACTCTGTTTTTACAAAGAAACTGGCACACTTCTGAAATACTATTAATAGAGTCTAGAAATTGAAAAGTAATCACAATCTTGATAGCATAAATACACATCTGTACATTTTAGGAGGTACCATGGCACTGTCCTCACAGGAGAACACGCTTCAGTCATACAGACTGGCCATGACACAGGAGCTCTGGAGGAGCTCAATTTGCCATTACTTCTCATTCACCTCCATACATTACACATGGGAAGTCAACAGAATGAAATAAGATCTTATTTCTAAGGTTAATTTTGGGTCAAGCTCAACATAACATTACAAAAAGAGAGAGCTATATTTAGAGTTATGGAGTGTTTGAAACCTTTAGTATACTTCCCATCAATATTTAATCTATTCTGGCTAGCTTTAATAAATTGCCACATGGCTAAGAAACCATTAAGTCACTAAAAAGAACTGTAAAATATTACAAGAGTTATAATATTGCTACAGCCATAATTTGAATTTAATTTTAAATATTTTATTAGTTATTTTATCAGATGAATGAACAGAACATTTCGATAAATTAAGGGGTATAAGGCTGCACAGCTATTTCAATTATACACTATAAAAGGGTAATTTTACAATTAAAAAATTTTAAGCAAGATAACATATTCTGTCTTATCAATTCTACAACAATATAACAATACAGTTAGATGCAAATAAGAGCTACACAGTAAGTGCTAGCATCTACCAGTCCAAGAGGAAGGGGCTGGGAGCCAAGGAGCAACGAGCCATTTCTGAGCCAAATATTGTTGTGAGTGCCGTAAAGGTTGCTGGTGGCCATAAGAATTTTTAACATAGACCATGAGAATCCAGCTATGATCACACTCTGGATACAGCAGCAATCAGCCCCTGAACTTGGCCTGCCCTGTTATGCTGTTATCACCTACATGGGGGTCCCTGTTAAGAAGCTGGCCATGGAGAAATGTCACTATATGACTGCCACAGAAATCAAAGAAATGTCTTAGGGGGTAATTCATATTAAATTTTGGTCAACAAAATAGGTCTGAGATTTTATTTGTGGCTTATGCTTAAAAAGCATTTATATCAGCTACTTCTTTTGGCTTTGTCTCATAAAACTTAAGAAGTCAAGAACTATCTAGGCAGGCTGGGTCATAGCATGTAAAAGATCTTCAAACTTTTCCGTTTTTACCCCCTTTTCCATTTCCCTACCAATGGAATCTCAGCATAAGCTTCCTGTGTTGATATTGTTCCCCAGCCTCGCTTTCTCTCCTGGTGGACTCAGTGGTTCCCGAGGATGGGGCTGTTCATATGAGTCTTTTTGGCTCCCTTTGGCATTTAGCATAGTGGTACTCAGCACCCAGTGCTCATCAGACACCTGACCCTGGCCTCCCTCTTTTCTGCAGGAGGATGCCACTCTATGTAGTTTGCTTGCGGTATCCTGTATTCAGTTCCTGGTATCTCTTAAGAAGGAAACAGCACCCACTACAATGTGTGACTACTTCATAGGAACCTATGAAAATGTGCAAATATCACTTTTTTTAAGGTAATGAACTCATAAGCTATTAAAAACATTGCATTCTTCTGACTTTTACTTCCAGACTTAACCAAAGACTAAACAAGCATTTTCCAAAATATATTCTTCAGAATCTTTGTTTTTATAAATAGTATTCGAATGCTCAAGTCAATTTGTGAACCTGGAAATACTATATCACCATCTTGGAACTCATGGTGACAGCAAATAAAGGTTCTGAGAAATCCTAAAGTAAAGATATCTGATTACTTTTGTTCAAACTAGTATTTCCCAAAATTACTTCATCAAGGAACCTTTCCCCCATGTGATGTTTATTAACATCCTATGAAACCTATGAAGTAGTCACAATTTGAGGAGTGCTGGCCTAATGTGTTTTTTCTTTCCCTTGAATTACATAAAACCTTCTAAATTACAGCTTTCAGACAATTTATAAAACAGTCAAAAATATTTCTGTTTAGATTAATGATGCCGATCCAGTTTTGTCCTTGAGCACGGCAAGATACATCAAAAGAAACCTAGAGTTTAGTGGTCTTAGCTTGTGCTTTTGGAGTGGAAGAAGTAGCAGATGAGGTACTCACCCTCAAGTACTCTAAACAGTATTAGAAGACAGCCTGGCCCATCTGGGAGGGGAGTGTTCAATACCACCCTTAACCCTGATAGCTTGAAGAGTCACTAACAGCTTCAACTACACCACACACTTAAAATGGGTGTCCTGCACTCACTAAATTCTCTCTTAAGAGTTATGATAGACAAAAAATTACAGTAAGAGCAGGATGTGATTAAGAAAATGAAAAGTAAATCTTAACTACAAAAATGTAATATTCTAGGTGTCCTGAGGATACTCCATTAGCGTTAAGCTGATTACAAATACAGGTGTCACAGAGCAGCTGCTGTAAGAAGGGAAACCACCGCCTGGTGCAGAGTCATGTGATATAAGCACCTGCCCCTCATAGCATTACATTTTGTAAGTTGAATTGCTTGGCTTTACCAGTTGAAAAAAATGAAAATAAAATGAAAACGAATAAATCAATGACTAGCTGCAGGAGAAGATTTTTAAAAACTCTTTCCTACCCCTGTGTGGAAAACAGTGCATCCTTTAAAAATCAATTCGGATATAGCTGAGAAGCTAACTAATGTTTAATCCAACTGAGATGAGCGTCTCTGAATTCTGCTTTCTAAAACAACAAAACACTAAGCTCTTTCAAATACAGCAAGGTCAGGGGAACTATTTCTCCAGCATAGGTGAATGAAGCATGAAATAGGAAAGCCCACTTCAGCAAAAGCTACAACGTATATCTGCTGTGTTGTCTTAGGATATCTCTCCCACCCAGACTATGTCAAAGAACAAAGAACAACTCACCATGTCATAAGTTGTTACGATCTTCTTCAGAACCTCCGGCACGATTCCCTGCAGCTCCATTGTGGGGTACTGCTCACTGAGATTCAGGACCACCAGTGGTGTATTATCGGGCCCCAGAAAGCGGGGAGACACAGCTAACATGCACTGCATGAGATTGGCCACAGAGGAGAGGCCACACAGCTCCTTGAATGACACCACCGCATTCTGTTAAATGGAATGAAAGGAGCATTTGTAATTAACTGGGGTTTTAATTTCTCATGGATATTATATTTGATATATCTGATTATGCTTGAACCACCTGTTACAATAGTTATTAGCAGTGTTATAACAGAATTGGCTAATTTTTATTTTATCCTGGGAAAAATGGCTACTATCCAAAGTAAATACTGTTATGGACATTTGTAACACCCATTTATCAAAAGTACTGAAAATGCAAATAAGTCAAATTCTTCCGAAGGGCAAGGCCTCTTTTCAGCTCAAAGTTCATAGTAGTGCTGATGCGGATATGCAACTATGAGCAAACAGAGAGAAGAGCTTCTGCATTCAAAGAGGGTAAAGATTTAGGAAAAAAAAATCAATCTGGTTTAAAGTAAGTATCAAATATGCCAGCCATACAAAAGGGAAAGAAATATTTGCAAGGTGGAAACCTGAATCTCTCATCTATTTATGCCTGCTGGCTCAAAATCTATAGAACCTTTGAGGATGCTACTGTCCTCTGGTGAGTCTGCCCAGCAGGGACCTTGGTCACCTGTGGCCTTCCCCTGTTGGTGTCACTGCTGATCTCAATGCCTCTCTCTCTCCCTTTTTTTTAATCACCAGAGGTATACCATTTAAATATCCATTAAAGAAAAACCTTCAACACTGTAAAATGCCACGAGCTGACTTTCTTTGAACACTTACTAAGTGCTAAGCCATATTAGGCATATTTATTACACATTACTTCCATTTAATCTACACAGCACACCATGTTATGGATGAGGAGACTGAGGCTTAGCTATAATCCCTCTCTATTTGTCTAAGGTCACACAGCTATTAAGTGAAGGAGTCAAGATTTTACCTAAAAGCTATTGATGTTAAGGCTAATGCTTTGAGTCACCATGAGTAATAACAGGTCAATTCTAATCATAATAAGAGTCCGCTGGGCTATTTCAGGTACACTTGAGTCCTGGTCTGGGCTAGGCATATGGGGAGAGTGGGTGGACCTAGGCACTGCAGGCCTGTGCCTTCTGCTCTCAACCCAGGTTCTTGGGAACAAACAACACTTTAGTTTTAAATTTAAACATTTCATTTTTATTAATATTGCTTTAAATATGGACATCAAACTATGTATCATTGGCTCAAATCACTTCGATATTGACAGACACATTTACAGAAACCAATCATGACAGTGATATTTAAAGTGTGGTTCCCCACTCACACCACTTACTCAT